AAAAAAAACATTAAGAGAACAGAGCATTAAAACATGACGGCATTTATTTTACTGTTTTACAGTAACGTACGTCTGTTCGGAAAAACGTTTATTAGCCTCAGAAAGACCAAAATGAGAAGAGGAGCGTGATTACTAATAGCACCAAACTGTCACTATTAGAGTACCGCAGACAATTTGAATGAAGCCAAGAATAAAAAGATGCACGGCAATGTGTGAGAATGTTACTGCTAAAAACAAAGCCTGCTGCAAAGATTAAATGTTAAAACAAAACTTGGTCATCTTGAGTTCTACAGCTCAAACTAGCCCTAAGTTTTCACTGAAATACATTATTATACACAAAATATTCCCATCATAGTATTTCCAGCTTCAATATTCCTCTTTCTTACAGGCATTTGGAAATAATGAAATGTTGCAGTTTCAAGTTGTCGTGGAATGTTGGAATAAAGTGGCTGAGTGCTGTTCAACTTCCCTTGAATTGTTCGTGTTGTACAGATAGAGTCGAGAACAGATGCTTATAAAATGATCGTACGCTTGTACAAAGGTTATAAAGTGAAGGTCATGTTGTGTGTGATTGTGTCACACTTCATGCTCAGAAATGTAAAGGACTATGTTATAAAATGTGGAGACGCTACGAGCAGAGTAAGAGTACGCCGTCTTCAAAACAGGTTCTAAATGAAAGTACAACCATCTGCCATCAAGCTTTACTCAGTCGCCCTCCGTCTGTCAACCAGGGCGCCTGTAGCAGGCCTCCTTGTAGGAGGTGGCATTGACAACGCTGAACATGTCTCTCCTAACAAAAGACAGGAAATTTTTCAGAGGGCAGAGAGGCTGGCTGACCTGGCGGTCGTGTGGGCGACAGAAGGTGGTGTGAAATGTCACGTCCTCGCCGTTGTACAGCACCCGGATGAATGTTTCGCCGTATTTGGCCTTTGACTTCTCCCCTTTTCCACCTCTCTTTTTTACTTGGCCTTGTATCGTCGGGGGACTTTTCCACAGTTCAAAGACAATTCTTGCTGCAAACCTTGGGAACCGGGCTTCTTCGAGACCCAGGGCACTTAGCAATGGAGCCACTGTGACATCATGGGCTGAAGAGAGAGTGAAGACCTCCTCTCCCCCGGAACGAGGCTGACGACCAGCCTCGCTGCTCTTAGCGATCCGCTCCATCTTGGCGGCGGTTCGGTTGAGGTAGGGATACATCGCCAGGATGGCGTATTTGTGGTACAGCCCCGCTCTCCTCCGGTCCACCTCATCGTCCAGCTGCTGCCGTCGGATCACGGCAAACTGTTCCATAGTCAGGCATCCGCCGGCGCCACTATCTCCTATGGGAACACATGGGAATGAAAGGCCATGGCACAGGTGGCACAGCAGGGAGTCTATGGGGTTTGCAGCTCGGAGCTGCCGAGTGGGAAGACCCAAAGTTCGTGACATATCCATGTAAGTTCTCTCCAGTTCAGTATCGGCCGCTCTGAGCTGATACTGCCTCCTCTGCTCCTCCTCCAGGTACCTGTTCCTGGCAGGGCAGTCGCAGGCCGAGCTGCAGAACAGCGTGCTCCACTGGTGACGCACGGTCAGCTTCGTCCAATCAAAGTCCGGAAGGAAACCGTAGAGGAAGGCCAGCCCGCTCTGAAGAGTGCGACTCTTCCCTGTGGTCTCCACCCAGATCTGACGGGGCGACCAATCGGAAGGGAAGAGACTGTGTTGTTTGTAGGCGTGGTGGAGGAGCTGCCCATTGCGAAGGTGCTGCACCACACCTGGACAACGATGGGAAAAT